AAAAAAAAAAAAAAAGAAAAGGCACCAGACATCTGTCAATGAGATGCTGAGAAAATAATTCCATTCTATAAGAAAAAAAAAGGCTGAGCACAGTGGCTCGTGCCTATAATCCCCGCACTTTGGGAGGCTGTGGTGGGCGAATCACCAGGTCAGGAGTTTGAGACCAGCCTGGCCAATATGGTGAAACGTGTCTCTACTAAAAGTACAAAAAATTAGCAGATTGTGTAGTGGCAGGTGCCTGAAATCCCAGCTGCTTGGGAGGCTGAGGCAGGAGAATCACTTGAACCTGGGAGATGGAGGTTGCAGTGAGCTGAGATTGCACCACTAAACTCCAGCCTGGCAACAGAGAGAGACTCAGTCTCAACAACAACAAAAAAGGAACACAAAGATCACTTTGCCTCTTGGCCAAGAAACATTAAGGCTGAAAAATGCACCCCCCTATATGCCTACTAACTTCACAGGCTGAAACTTGTCACCTGTCAACCAATCATGCTGTGGGACCCAGACTCCATTCTGCCCTGAACTTACCTGAAACCAAATAGCATTCACCACTTTGCTAAGCACAAACAAGGGGAGCACCCAAAGAGCACTGAAAATTGACGTGAGGAAGAATTCCAGCCACGACCAAACATCTCCATGTAGTGACGGGTCACCTAAGAAAAAGGAAACGAGTTATTAGAAATGGAAACCCAGAAGACCAAATGTGGAACCCCCATCTCGTGACTATTCTCTGTCTCCTCCTGGATCTTTCTAGTTCTTGCCAGCACATCACTATACTTATCGCAAAGAGTCTAACTGAGAATAGACACACCACATTCTGGCCACAATTCCAATTCGAATAAACCACAGATATGTGCTGCTTATCTTGATGCAAACCTGCTTACATGATGGTTAACGAGATGCCACAGTGATTACCAGTACAGGATACCATCTAGGTTTAAATCTCAGCTCTACCACTTATTAATGGTTTAACCTTGGTAACTTACATTTCCTCATTCATAAAATGGACAGAATCACAGTACCCATCTTAAAAGGCTGTTGAAAGGTCTGAGTTAAAAAACCAGCTAACGCTCTCATCTGAAGGCTTTAGGGGAATAAAGCCTTTTATTTATAAAAAGAATGAAACAAAAACAGCAAAAGCTCCTGGTACACAGGAAATGTTCAGTAAACTGAGGGAGATTGAAACATCTCCCACTCCGTCTCCAACAGACAAGGAGCAGGGTATATACTTACCAATGATTCGGGCTGTTACTGACTGAAGCACAGGAATAAATACTCGATAAAACAAGAGGAGACTGAACTAAAGAAAAGAAGCAACAAGGCAAACATCAAAAGCCAGTCTTTAAAACAGGAGTTTCATGTTTTAGTGTAATGATTTTATAGATGGGAGTGCCTTTTATAAATCAGGAGGCCTAGGCCGGGTGCAGGGGCTCACATCTGTAATCTCAACACCTTGGGAGGCCAAGGCAGGTGGATCACTTGAGGTCAGGAGTTCGAGACAAGCCTGACCAACATGGTGAAACCCTGTCTCTAATAAAAATACAAAAACTGGCTGGGCATGGTGGTGCATGCCTGTAATCCCAGCTACTGGGGAGGCTGAGGGAGGAGAATCACTTGAACCCAGGAGGCAGAGGTTGCAGTGACATGAGATCATGCCACTGCATTCCAGCCTGGGCAACACAGTGAGACTCCATCTCAAAAAAAATGAAATAAATCAGCAGGCCTGAAAAAGCACTGAAACTCAATCCATTTCTATTTCTCAACACTCCAATTGAGAGATACAAACTTGATACTGCCTATAAAACAATGAAACTTTTGGGGCATAGAGGAATATTTCAAATAGTATTCAGGCCAAAATATAGGCATGTACTAAGTACACGGGAATACATATTAATTAAATTTAAAGCTAACATCTGAAAACATCTGTGAATTGTTTAGATTAAGATGTTTTGAATTACTCTAAATTCTAAGTTAAAGAAAATATTTAGCTACCCATTCTTCAAAGTACCAAAATTTCACTTAAGCCTGCACTGGTTCTCAGTTAATCGCAGGCAATCTTCTCTGCTATAGATTTCAATGGTAATTAATTCTTGTTGATCACTATAAGCAGAAGCAGGGAGAACCTTGTTCCTGTCTGCCCTTTCCCTCTGATTCCCCATAGTTGCTGTTAGCATTTTAAAATGTAAGTGTATATTGAGGGCTGTGATGTTTGTTTACATCCAAGTGTGCTTTCTCGAGTGGGAATAAAATCACTGCAGATGCAGACTCCTGAGTTAGATTCCTAAGCGTACATCAGCAGATGAAAGCTATTTGTCTCAGTGTTTCAAAAAAACGGTTCATAACTATCAACCCAGCAACAATCTGAAGATGCTTATGAGGCACCTGGAATTTAAAGAAGAACTTACCCAGAACACTCCACCATTCCAAGCACAACACTGGAAAATTCTACTAACAATACGTGGTTCACTGGAAAAGACCACATGTATTTAGTTTATAAGGTGTAAGTTAATTCCTAATTGTGATTCAGTAGTTAATTTTATATCTTTTGTGGGTACTATATTATTTTTCAGTACCTCATGTTCTCCCAACGTTCTAATGTCAGTCAATGAGACCAAAAAATGGTCAGGCACAGTGGCTCACACCTGTAACCCTAACATTTTGGGAGGCCAAGGTATGCAGATCACCTGGGGTCAGGAGTTCAAGACCTGCCTGGCCAACATGGTGAAACCCCATCTCCACTAAAAAATACAAAAAATTAGCCAGGCGTGGTGGTGCTCAACTGTACTTCCAGCTATTCGGAGGCTGAGGCAGAAGAATTGCTTGGACCCAGGAGGCAGAGGCTACAGTGAGCCGAGATCACACCATGGCACTCCAGCTTGGTTGGGTGACATAGCAAGACTCCATCTCCAAATATATATATATATTTATTTATTTTGGGGGAACCAGCTTTTAAAAGAAAAATATTTTCTAAAGTCTCATGTTAGAAAAGATGAAAAGAAAGTGTGGGGCAGGAGTTCTTCTATTAACACATAAATCCACACAGGCTTCCCTAGAAGTATCTATCAAACCAAATAATATTTTTTGATTCTCTATTCAGCATTCTGATTTAATGTCATGACATTTTTAGCAAGGACTATTAGTAGACTCTAGTTTAAGTCAATGTCGTGGGCAGAGGGGAAGTCATTTGCAACATTTTTCTGGGAAAAAGCACAAAAGAAATGACCTGGTACTGAAATGTCAAGTCACTATGTAGGGTCTTCCCTCCTTTGGACATTTTGACATCAGACATGCACTCCTTACCTCTCTTGCTTCCGCTCTATACTCTGGGCTCTTCTCTGTGCCAAGACACTACTTGCCCTTCTTCGACGCTGCTCCTCTCTCTTCTGCTGGATTCGAGCGTCTAACTTTGAGATGGTACAAATACCCCAGATGGAGTCTTTGATTCCCTATAGAAAAGGTTGTTGTTGTTGTTATTATTATTTGAGACAGGGATTTGCTCTGTCACCCAGGCTACAGTGCAGTGACTCAATCACAGCTCACTGCAGCCTCCAACTCCTGGGTACAAATAATCCTCCTGCCTCAGCCTCCCAAGGAGCTATGAATACAGATGTGCACCACCATACCTGGCTAACTTTTAAATTTTTCTTCTGTAGTGATGAGGGTCTCACATGTTCATCAGGCTGGTTTCAAACTCCTGGCCTCAAACAATCCTCCTGCTTCAGCCTCCCAAAGGCTAAGAATTCACTCATGCATCCATCCCCCACCCATGTACTGCATATCTTCAATAAGCTATATATTGGTCATATGGAAATGCTCAAGCAGCTTATAACTTAGTAGAAAAAGCACACAAGCCAAAAAATTACATTATAGGTTTTTTTTAAAAAAAGTTTTTAAAATATGAAACATTTCGTGAATTTGCATGTCATGCAAAGTAGCCATGCTAATCTCTGTATCGTTCCAAATTTAGTACAGGTGCTGCAGAAACAAGCACACATAGTTTAATAAGTACCACAAGAGATGTACGGCCCAAATAGAGTGTCAGCACTGGGGTATTCAACTTCATTAGAAGGCAGAAAAAGTTACTCTGGAAGCAATGGCCAAGCTGGATTTAAGAATGGATGGCATTCTCGCCTACTGTTATTAGACAAAACGAATTTTTGAAATAATAGCTAGAATGCGGAGAAATGGGCAAGTTTATGTATTGTCTGCTGGCAGGAGCATAAGTTGGCACAGTGTGCCTTTGATCTTCTTTGTCTGAGTAATTTTACTCTTAATTTTGCTTTTAGCTTCTAAATCTTCCACCATTAATTTTTTAAATCACGAAACTCCATCTAAGATAGTTAATTCAAATGGCTGAGGGCCTAGTACATGCTAGGATTATAGGATCCCCACCTCTAAGGTATCTACAGTATGGTGAGGAAGACAAACATGTAAACAGCACACTGTAGAACTGTAGAACCAACACAGGGTTGAATTTTTTTTTTATCCAGAGTTTTGCTCTGTCGCCCAGTGCAGTGGGGTGATCTTGGCTCACTGCAACCTCCGCTTCCCAGGTTCAAACAATTCTCCTGCCTCAGCCTCCTGAGTAGCTGGGATTACAGGTGTGTGCTACCATGCCTGGCTAAATTTTTTTATTTTTTATTTTTAGGAGAGACGGGGGTTTTGCTATGTTGGCCAGGCTGGGAGGGTTGACATTTTATAGCACACTAATGGCAAGACAAGGTAAAGGTGTTAAAAGTAGATCATATGCAGCTGGGCACAGTGGCTCATGCCTGTCATCCTAGCACTTTGGGAGGCTGAGGAAGGTGGATCACTCGAGGTCAGGAGTTCAAGACCAACCTGGCCAACATGGTGAAACCCCCTCTCTACTAAAAATACAAAAATTAGCCAGGCATGGTGGTGCATACCTGTAATCCTGGCTACGTGGGAGGCTGAGGCAGGAGAAGCACTGGAACCTGAGAAGTGAAGGTTGCAGAGCCGAGACTGCCACTGCACTCCAGCCTGGGCAACAGAGCAAGACTCTGTCTCAAGGAAAAAAAAGTAGATCATATGCATAAAGTATTTTTAGACCTTCTAAGATATCCTTTCAGTCTTCCCTCTTCTGATCAAAAGTAATAACCTTTTTACTTTCTCACTCTGCTAGAGTGCACTGGTACCATCATAGCTCACTGCTGCCTTATAATCCTGAGCTCAAGCAATCCTCCCTCGGTCTCCCAAAGTGCTGAGATTACAGGTGTGAGCCACCTCCCCTGGTCATAAAGGTAACCTGTTAAACTCTCCTACTAAAGAAAGAACCTTCCTCCTCCAAGAATTGGCCTCTCTCATGCTAGTGGAAATATAAAAAGAGGGGGTTACAACTGGGACATTACTAGAATTCAGACATACATTAAAAGTAGTGGACTTTTGGGCTATTGGTAATTTGGATGACTGGGTCATAAACAGATCTTTATAGGGCATTTTCCTAGAGCATCCCTCTCACCTGCACAGGTTGTAGAATGGGAAGAAAAAAGGTTCTGGCTGGGTGCAGTGGCTCATGCCTGTAATCCCAGCACTTTGGGAGGCTGAGGTGGGCAGATCACTTAACCCAAGAGCTCAAGACCAACCTAAGCAAGGGGAAAAAAAAGATAGGTTCTCTAATTTAAATCTGAATTAATTAGTTTAGGTAATAGTACTGTACCAATGTTCATTTCTTATAGTTTTGACAAATGTACCATGGTTATATATTAACATTAAGGGAAGCTGATGAAGGATATATGGGAACTCTCTGTACTACCTTATAACTTTTCTGTAACTCTAAACACATTCCAAAATAAAAAATTAAAAAAAAAAAAAAAAGCTCTGAAGCCAAGATGACCAGGGTCCCAATACTAGAGACACTCACTGAAGAGGTCTTCCAAACACTTGCGAGAGTGCCTGCAAGATGTGGAACAATACCTATCTCTTGAGTAGTGTGGTCTAAAATAATAACCTGTACGTAAAGAACCCAAGAAATAGGACAAAAGTTCCCAAAACCCCACAGGATTTTCTAGATAGTTCCTTCAGCAAAAAAGGCCAAGAGATGAATTCCTAGAAACAAGATGTACTCACTCTGGCAAGGTCCTGGAGAAAGGTTTTGACACTGTCAGCCATCTCTTCACCACCAAACTATCAACTATACAGAGGAGAGAGCAGTATCCCCCAATCTCTCATCATGAAGGACCTGGAAACTGATGGAACATAATGGAGGCAAAATATTTATTTTAAAGATAAGTTACTTCATGAACATTTCCACATGATTACCTCACATACTTGTAGCTCTAGTAAGATAGCAGTAGATTCTAGCACTAACAGAGTGAATCAAGTAAAGCTATTCCTGTACAGCTGAAACCTAAAATCCCTAATTTTTTTCGAATCCACTCACCAACATTTCAGTTTTACATGGGGTATATGTGGTCTTGACCAGTAAACCTCCTCTGACCCTCAATGCCCCTAACTATCACTCCTATACATTCTAAGCACTTTTGAGGGTTTGGAGATGGATGATAATTACATTTCAATATCCTCTTAAGCAATTTTTATGTTTGCTGGATACCCTCAAATACTTGAATGAAAATACAAGAGTAAGATAAAAGTTCTTACAAAAATTACTAAACACATGCTTCAGTCACACAGAGCCCTCAGGCACACATGAAAGTTTTAGGTATGACATGAAATGGCCTACGAAAACTTCCAAATAGGTATTCTCTATGTTTTCTAACTTTAAATATATAGAGATATAATTTTAATATGCAATAAACTGGATTTTAAACTAAGACTCAAAAAAGTTCATATGTATAAAAGTCTTTAAAACAGTAAGGCTTTCCTATTTTATGTCTCAGGTGAATGGGATATCTAGTTTCAAAAATTAAGAATTTGAGAATTCATGTGTATAAATACTTTTTTTTTTTTTTTTTTTTTGATACGAAGTCTTGCTCTGTAGCCAGGCTGGAGTGCAGTGGCGTGATCTCGGCTCACTGCAATCTCCACCGCCCCAGTTCAAGCCATTCCCCTGCCTCAGCCTCACAAGTAGCTGGGATTACAGACGTGCACCATCACATCCAACTAATTTTTGTACTTTTAGTTGAAACAGGGTTTAACCATGTTGGCCGGGATGGTCTCGTTCTCCTGACCTCGTGATCCGCCTGCCTCAGCCTCCCAAAGTGCTGGAATTACAGGTGTGAGCCACGGCACCCAGCCATAAATACTTTTAATATACTATTCTCATATTTAATGTAAGATGACTTTTAAGGTGAATAGAAAACCCACTTTCAGACATTTTTAAGAACTTAATATTCTAAAGTTCTGAACACTCACTAAACCAAGTTGCAGTATTCTCAATTTATGAGGTATGACCATGATACAATGACGGAATTTCACAAGCAGCTTGTACAAACCTTAAATTTCAAAACATAAGCACACTTTCCCCGACCTTTAACCACTTCACCAAACTGCTCCTCAATGACCCAACTGGACTAATGCCATTCAGAACTGGAAGAGCAGGGGATATGGCAGTAGGAAGGCAATTTGCACAATACTGTATGTCCTCTGCTTCTTAGGTCATCCTACACAGATGGGCTGACTTCAGATAGATGTCTCTAGGGTAAGAAACTTCTGTCAATACTTCCCACTGTTCCCGCCTGAAAACAAACACCTCAGAGTTCCAATCGCGTAGGTACAGCCATACAGACATGTTCTCAGGGTTGGGGTGAGGGCAGCTGAGCTAGGTGACTAGCAAATGCTCAGTGATATGCAAGACACTAGTTTGTAAAAGCTCACAAATCCACTCCCTTAACCTGCCACTTGCTCATCTATAAATTAAGAGTACTAAACTTCTTCATAGGTTTCTTGCATCTAATAGAGCAAAACAGCATGAAAAAAAACTTAAAACACAACCCCAGGAAAGTGAGCCAGCTTGGAGGTTTAAGGAATCCCATTACTTGGCCTGGATTTCTCACAGGGAACTGACAGGGAACCTGAAACATTCTGTCTCAGTCCACAACAGCTGTGTCATTTGATCCCTGGCCAGCTAACACCTGGTTTCTGCATGTACCAAGTGGCTGGGCACCTCCTGACCAAGAGTGGCCTATGAAGGATAAATCATTTCACTGTTATACTTAGATCCTAACATCCTTCCTACAGGAATATTTGGTGAATTACTCAATCTGACAGCTGAGGCATGGAGGAAAATAACTTGCCACAATTGAGATCACACACGGAGACTGACTGACACACGGGGAATCCTACAGCTGAGCTAGATACATGAAGATGCATCTGGTTCATTTAACAGGTGAGAGAACCAAGTCTCAGAAATTAAATGACTTGCCCAGACTGACAGTAAATGAATGGCAGCGATCGTGAACCTCAGAACCCTGGTGTCCCAACGTTACCTCGGTCGAGACTTGTTTTTACTTAAGCTCTGCAATGAAGATTTTTGTTTTAACACGACCATCCCATGAACAAATAACCTCTCAAACCTGGAAACACAAATGCCATTAAATTCCTAACAGTCATTAGAAGCTGGTAAGCTGCTGAGGCACAGTCCTGCACTTTCATTTCTAAGTCACTAAACCCAAGTCTCACAAGCAGGAAGCTGTCACAGTCCACTCTAGGTACAGGGAAGGTAAACATCCTCACTTCCCACGGGGCTCCACTGGCTGCCTCCGAGTCCGCGGGTCCACTGGGGCCCGTCTCCTCACAGCTCCTAGGCAATTCGGCTGAAAACTGGTCTCCCTCCCTAGGCACAGCTGTGCACGAGGTGCGGACGACGCACACTCCAGGTCACACGGGGAGCTAAAGATAGCCGCGCCGCACCTGGGGCAGCCTCGCCCGGGGATGCGCCCAGCGTCTGGCCCCGTCCGGCTCCATCCTGCCCCTTCCCGCGAGGGGTCCTCGCCGGCAGCCCCACCAACCCACGCTCGGGCCCTGCCTGCCCTCCGGGTTCCATCCGCTCAGTATGGGCGGAGCGGCGGCCCCAAGGCCTGGCTTGGCGAAGCCCGCACCTACCCGCAGCTCCGCCGCCGCGGTTCCAGCCCGGCCCCTTGCCCACCGCGGGCCAGCTCCACTGGGGCGCTCCCAGGGCCGGGGCCGCTGCGCCCGCACTGGGCATGCCCGGGCCGCACAGGGCCGCTGGGAAGTCGGGCAGGCGCGAAGGACCCACCGGGGCGACGGGGCGGGGCCCAGAGCCGAGGGGCCGGGCGGCGCGTAGCGACGGAGACTGGGAAATGTAGTCAGCCCGGGGCCGCGCCTCGCGCAGCGTGCGGGGTCGCTCGCTTCCCGGCTCCGCCTGGCGGCGGAGAGGACCCCTCGCCCCCCTCCGTCGCCTCCTCCTGGATCCAGTTCTCACTGAACTCTCCTCCTGTTCTTTGCCTTCCCCCATCGACTCCACAGCGTTGCTTGTGTTTCTAAAATCCTGTGAAATTAGTAACAGGAGAGCAATAAAATACAGAGGGGACCTTGGTTTATCTGATTGCAGATTTTCTGTAAAAGTTACTAACAAATGATGGGTTCAAATCAAGCTTCACTCACAGTGATCCAGGATAGGACAAGCTCCCATCCAATTTGGCTGCATTATGTTTGTGTAATCTTATGGAAAAGGAGTATTTGAGATGAAACAAGGTAGAGAATCACTGTTCTCATCTCCATCCCACAAGTCCAGTTCTACCGCGGGAAGGGCAGCTTCTTGGCATGGAACTGGAAAGGGGGCAAAGTTTTACCTCTCCCCTTTTAGGGGTTCTCCTCTGGGCCTGAGCATTAAACTGACATAAGATAGATTAACAAGAGAAAAATTGTGAGGAAAAACTCAAACCGTTTTTCCCTACTCATACCAACATGGTCAACACAGAAGAGTTTTGTGATCAAATGTGTGGGTTTTTTTCCCCCACACCACAAGCAGCCAACACCACCAGCTGGGTGTCCCCTAATTCAATTGCATCCTGATGCTATTTTCTGGAGGTGGCCTAAGATCCCACAGACTGAGGGCTCAGTCCCCAAGACTACTGTCCCCTTCAGGCACCAGTCACAAGTTCAGGTACCCTGAACTTCTAACAAACGGGTTTCAAACAATTTGGGGCTCCAACCATCCACCCTTTGGGTTTCATTAATTTGCTAGAGTGGCTCACAGGGAAATATTTACCTTTACTGGTTTATTAGAAAGACTCTTTAATAACTGCACTCCAGCCAGGGAGACAGAGCAAGACTCCGTCTCAAAACAAAACAAAAAAATAGTAATAATTCTTGCTCCAAAGTGGTATAATTTGGAGTGGCATATTCTCCCATCCTTCAGAACACCAAGCCTCACCTATAACCTTTTCTCCCTTATTCCCAACCTGTTATATCCATCCCATTTCTTTTTTCTGCCACCTCTGGCTGTGCTTAGAGATACTTGTGTTAGGACCACCTACAGAATCGGTCTTTTTTTATTTTTATTTTTTGAGATGGAGTCTTGCTTTGTTGCCCAGGCGGGAGTGCAGTGGTGCAATCTCGCCTCACTGCAACTTCCACCTCCTGGGTTCATGCAATTCTCCTGCCTCAGCCTCCCAAGTAGCTGGAATTACAGGGATGCACCACCTTGTCCAGCTAATTTTTTTTTTTTTTTTTTTTTTTTTTTTTTTTTTTTTTTTTTTTTTTGAGAGTTTCACTCTTATTGCCCAAGCTGGTGTACAACAGCATGATCTCAGCTCACTGCAACCTCTGTCTCCCAGGTTCAAGCAATTCTCCTGCCTCAGACTCCAGAGTAGCTGGGACTACAGGCTTGCTCCACCATGCCTGGCTAAGTTTTGTGTTTTTAGTAGAGACGGGGTTTCACCATATTGGCCAGGCTGGTCTTGAACTCTTGACATCATGATCCACCCGCCTCAACCTCACAAAGTGTTGGGATTACAGGTGTGAGCCACCGTGTCTGGTCTTTGTTTTTTGTTTTGTTTTGTTTTGTTTTGTTTGCTTGTTTATTTGTTTTTATGACAGAGTTTTGCTCTTGTCACCCAGGCTGGAGTGCAGTGCAATGGTGTATGGTCTCAGCTCACTGCAGCCTCTGCCTCCCAGGTTTAAGTGATTCTCCTGCCTCAGCCTCCCAAGTAGCTGGGATTACAGGTGGCTGCTACCATGCCCAGCTAATTTTTTTTATTTTTACTAGAGACAGCGTTTCACCATGTTGGCCAAGCTGGTGTTGAACTCCTGACCTCAGGTGATCCACCCGCCTTGGCCTCCCAAAGTGCTAGAATTACATGTGTGAGCCACCACACTGGGCCCAGCCTTTGTATTTTTAATAGAGATGGGGTTTCATCATGCTGGCCAGGCTAGGCTTGAACTCCTTACCTCAAGTGATCCACCCACCTTGGCCTCCCAAAATGCTAGGATTACAGGCATAAGCCACCACACTCGGCCTAGAATCAGATTTTTACAACTAGAAGCTATTTACTGCAACCTTCATTGTGGGTGAACCATAAGCCCAGATGTTAAGTGACTTAAACTGAAGCCCAGATGTTAAGGTCAGTGGCAGAACAAATACCCAGACCTTTCCTCTTTCCTCCAGTTCTGTGCACTAAGGAGGCGCTGGTCTCTACACCTTAGCCTAGCATCCAGCCACGTTCCAGAAACTACCTTCCTACTCCCAGCCTGATGAAATCCATGTTCTCTTTAAGGAAGAGAATACTTAAAATTAAGACCAACAAGATTAGAGAAGGGAATGAAGGATTCAGAAGAGTCAAGAAAGATATGCAGAAGACCTGAAGTAAAGGATCAACGTAGGATTTATGTATGGACACTCCAGTAGGGAGGAGGCCTTTTATCTTGTTTGTGTCAGCCATGGGCAGGAATCTCATTTTCACTACAAACAGAGCGAGGAATAGCCTTGCAAATGTCCTATTCTCATCTCATAAATGTATCCCTTCGTTTACTCCCTTACTAAAGTCATTATAAAGAGGAGACATTAAAATTTCCTTTTGCCTAAATGAGTGAATCTCTATAACTATTTATTATAAAGAACTACAATTAAATGATTTTTTTTTTAACTTTTTTTGAGTCGGCGTTTGCTTGTTTGTTTGTTTTGAGACGGTCTCACTCTGTCACCCAAGTTGGAGTGAAGTGGCACCATCTCGGGTCACTATAGCCTCAACCTTCAGGACTCATTTGATCCTCCCACCTCACCCTCCCAAGTATCTGGGACTACAGCCACATGCCAGAGCACCAGGCTAATTTTTGGATTTTTAGTAGAGGCAGTCTTTTGTCATGTTGTCCCAGCTCATCTTGAACCCTGAGCCCAAGCAGTCCTCCTTCCTTGGCCTCCCAAAGTGCTGGGATTATAGACATTAAGCAACATGCTCACCCCTGTAATCCCAGCACTTTGGGAGGCCAAGGTGGGTGGATCACTAGGTTAGGAGTTTGAGACCAGCCTGGCCAACATGGCAAAACCCCATCTCTACTAAAAGTACAAAAATTAGCCAGGTGTGGTGGCACATGCCTGTAGTCCCAGCTACTTGGGAGGCTGAGGCAGGAGAATTGCATTAACTCAGGAGGCGAAGGTTGCAGTGAGGCGAGATCACACCACTGCACTCCAGCCTGGGCAACAGAGCAAGACTCAGTCTCTAAATAAATAAATAAATAAAAATTAACAAAATAAAATGAAATAAAATAAGCAGCTGGGTGCAGTGGCTCATGTCCATAATCTCAGCACTTTGGGAAGCTGAGGTGGGCAGATCATTCAAGGCCAAGAGTTCGAGACCAGCCTCTCAACATGGCGAAACCCCGTCTCTACTAAAAATACAAAAATTAGCTGGGTGTGTTGGCACACACCTGTTGTCCCAGCTACTTGGGAGACTAAGGAATGAGATTTACTTCAACCCAGGAGGCGGAGGTTGCAGTAAGCTGAGATCACATCACTGCACACCAGTCTGGGTAACAGAGTCAGACTGTCTCCAAAATAATAAAATAAAATAAAGTAAAATCCATCTACTAAAGCTTAGAAATCTTGTTACAAAGAGATGTAAGTGGTTTAATGATAAACTGATTATTGTACTATTAATTACAACAATAGCTCCTCCTCCAAGCTCTATTCTTTCTGAAGAGTATGAATTAGAAAAGATTTTAGAAAGAATTTAGTAGGTATGATTCTATTCTGGCTTACTTGATGGGAGGAAATCTTTTAAATCTCAAAATGTATAAACAAATTTAAAATGAAAACCAATAATAATTAATACCTTGCATTTTAATTTTATTTTTTGAGACAGAGTTTCACTCTTGTTGCCCAGGCTTAATGGCACGGTATCGGCTCACTGCAACCTCGACCTCCCAGGTTCAAGCAATTCTCCTGCCTCAGTCTCCCAATTAGCTGGGATTACAGGCATGCGCCACCACGCCTGGCTAATTTTGTATTTTTAGTAGAGATGGTGTTTCACCATGTTGGTCAGGCTGGTCTCGAACTCCTGACCTCAGGTGATCTGCCCACCTCGGACTCCAAAAGTGCTGGGATTACAGGTGTGAGCCACTGCGCCTGGCTTAATATCTTGCATTTTTAAAGAGCTCTCACATATGTATGATTAGATACTATTTGTGAGACAAAAAGAGGATGATATTATTTTTCAAATTTCGCAAATGAGGAAGTTTGTGGCAGAGCACTTAACTAAGAAGACTTGATCTCCAGTTTAGCAATGAACTTTGTTTCTTTAACACAGGCTGCTAAAATAAATGGTATATGTATGAAGATGTTTTCTAACTCTATGCATCTATGATTTAGTGAATTGGCAACAATACTAGATCTAGTGATAGTGACAGGAGGCAGCCAAATGCCTAGGCAGGTAGAGGTGGGTCCCCAGTGAAACCTCTCCTCCAGGCCCAAAACAGTTTAAAGCCTGAAAGCCAAGCTACAAGTTAAATACTCAGTTGAGATTGAGAACTTGTCTTCCTGTTTAGCATGCTTTCCTCTGATTGATCCCAACCTTTCATCTATTTTACATATACCTATCCTTTCTTGATTGGTTTTCTACACTGTCATGCCCACCTTTGAGTGGTGTCTTTGCTTTAGTCACAAACCAGTCATCAGCACACACTCCACATCCTGTGCCTATAAAGAAGCCAGACTCAGTCAGCAGAGGGGGAGAGGCCTGACTTTGTCAAAGACTACCTGCCCTTCTTGTCATTTCTCCAGCTCCCCTCTCTGTTGA